TGGAAGCAGTAATCGATAATAGTAGAAATAGAAAAAAAGATTGCTACAAAATAATCAAAAGAATGAAAGAAATTGAGAAGTAATTTTTCTTTTCTTCAAAAGAACGATGAACGAAGGTCTTTTTTCATTGTACTGGAAGTACAAAACACAAAGTGTACTTTGAAAGTTTGGTCAACGAGATATTACTTGATCTATTCATCTGCTTGATAGTTTTCATGGGCGAAATTTTCATTTTAATACAATCTATTCATTCATTTTCGATCTATAACAAAATATAATTTTGACATCATTTGTCAACAATATCTTCCATTAATTTTTGATCAAATGATATCACTTCATTTCTCAGATAATGATGATGAAACACCAAATATACCGAATATTTTTCTTTCTCATGGTTTTACTCTTAATCAATTCATTCATTTACAATCACTTTCACTATATTACATTCAATCTTTCGATACATTGAATCAATGTATACTTCAATAATGTAGTCATCTTTCAAATTTCAAGCATTTCAATATGATCAAATGTTATTATGACTATAGAGAAACTGATATTCATTGTATGATTAATAATATATGTAGTCTACGAAATCTTATCCATTGTTTATTAGATCAGATTTCTATGAGAAAAATGCGACTAACTAAAATCTTAATGATCTCATCATCAATCAAAAAATTGTCTTTGGAAAAGATCGCTTGTACTATTGAAGATCTATTTCATTTATTCAAGTAAACACCATATCTACAACGATTATATTTAAATAAAATACAGAATTTTCTAACTCAACAATCGCAAACTGTTATTCCATCACTAATTTTATTGAAGCTCTTATTTCATGGTTTCATAGATACAATGATTATTCTTTTTCAAAATACGCCTAACTTGTGTCATTTAACATTAGAAACAGTTGATATTTTTTGTCATGGACATGAATGGAAAAAAAGTTCTGCAAGATTATTTATATAATATCAAAACATTTCGATTAAAAATGAATTTAAAGTTTTCTCGTAATAAGAACATAGAAAAGCAAGTTGATGAACTATTCGATTCATTTCAAACATCTTTTTGAATGGAAAAAAACATCGATGGTTTGTTTGATGTGATTGGAATCCATTCAATATATGTAATGATGGCATTCTCTATACTTTACTCTATACTTTTGATAAATACTTTTATTTCGATACAATATTTTCTAAATCGTCTTGTTCAAATGATGCAGATTATTGGTTATATGATCATGTATAAACTCTTTTGCATGAGAATCCAGAACATCATTTATCAAAAGATTTGATTCTTTTCTCTGCTCGTTTTCTAAATGTACGCTATCTTAAAGTTAGTATTCCATGTTAGACAGATTTTTGGTCATGCATTTCGTCATTAAATCAATTAACATCTCTGAGTGCAATGTTGTTATATACCAACTCTACTTATAGTCAATTACAATATTTTTTCAGTCGAGAAATTCATCTCTATTCATTGAAGATATCCGATTTTAAAGATTTTCCAATGACATTATTCAAAATGACAAGTAGATGAATTCGTCGATTGGATTCTATAACTAAATCTTAATCACATATTCGATATTTCAATAATGAAGAATGTGCTATATTAATTAACTCATCTCTTGGACGTCAATGTGGAATTCTTTCAGTTGGTATTGAAAATCGAAGAAATATTATTGATTTCATTAATAAAATATTTAATCTTAGATCATTAATATGTCAATGTAAAGATGATCAACATGATGATTGGAGTTCACCGTCAACTAATGATGAACTTGTCGAATGCTTAAAGAATCATCTACCAGCACGGTATTTAATTAGCAGAGATATATGAAACGAATATCTTTCACTCGACTGTGGATCTGTTAATGATAATCAGAAAATTTCGATAAATTTTTTTCTGTTGTTAATCACGCATTTCCGACGTTTTTCTAACAGTTCTTATCATTTGATGAAAATCTAATCTGAATATTCATTATTCGAAAATAAGGATACTACAGCCATTTTCAGTATGTATACACTAACATGAAGGAATAAATTAGCAAGCTAGTCACACAAAAGAAATAAGTGAGAAACAAGCAAACCAATTTCAAAGGAAGAGTAGCGGTAAGGTCATTTTTCATTCATCAATATTTTTGAAATAAAATTCTATGGTTATAATCCTCATTAAATTCTGAACATAGTACACTATTTTGTTTTTGATCGGGCGTCAAAAACACTTTTTTGAAAAATTTTTTGCCTGTGGTCCTCTAGAGGACCCTTGAAGGATATGAGTATATATCTTCAAATGTTTGTAACTGAGATCGAATCATCTTTTAGACAAATATGAGTATTATCAAATCCGTTTTTCTTACAAATAATCAAATGTTATTCAAATAGAACTTACCATATATCAATATACAGAATATGAGAATTTTTTTTATTGGAAAAGTAGTTTAACTCTTTGGCACCCGGCATAAGAGAAGGAAAAATAATTTTTCAGAAAATTTATTAATTATTTTATAAAACGGTTGTATAGTGTGCTTCCAGAAAATGATGATTTGAAAAGTGCATGATGCCTAACATTTGTTTTTTGGTAAATGCTTCTAAAAGGCATACATAATGAATGATTACTTCTGTTCATTTACAGATGAGATTCCTGATGCATATGTGCGTCAGCGGCAGCCAAAAATAGAAAGAAATTCTTGCGTAGGCCAAACTATGTTTATTTCTAGAATCACAAAGGTAAAAACGTTGCAAGTGCTATGAACACGATTTAACGCGTAAAATCAATAGTAAGACCGAAAAAAGCGCATAAGCCTTAAATAAAAATTGTGGATTTTAACAGATTCAAGTTGCGGAAACGTGTCTTAACTAGTTCAAAATTTCTTAGTAATGTCCTTTTAACAAGAATATATCGTTAAAATGACTTTATTAAGAAACCTTTACATGTTCCAGCGAATATCGCAAAGCTTTTATAGTAGAAAAAACCATAGAAGATACGAAAATACTCGTGAACTTGTTGTAATAAATTTCAGAAAGCATGTAACGTGTTGGATAAACGTTGAACTGAACAAAACTACTACTAAGCTATGTTTCGAAAATAAAAATAAATGTAATTGAAATATTTAACTCCAATTAATGCTTTACCTCATTTTGATAATTTCGCTGATATAATCTGTTTCTTTTGTATATCTGCAAAAATTTTCTCTTGTGGATGCACTTGAATTCATTTCAAAGTATAAGCACATGATGATTATATTTCATATTCTTGTTCTGTATATCTATATTATTGACATGTGCTTGTGGTTTAACATGATCAAGAAAAGTGATTATGACAAAGAGAAATATAATGCTTGGAAATATTTGAACAAAAGCTATTTACGTTGTTCAATTTGATCAGTCTCTCTAATCATGTATTTTGTTTTATTACATTAGATCAAAATGAAAAATTTTGAACGATTTTATTTGACACAAAAAAAAAGAATTGCTTCTGCATAATTCAACTGTATGTTATCAAGCTGTTTGCTTTTCTATTTTTTCTGTTTGCCATTATTAAAGAACACTTCAAACTTTTGTATCTTGTCATTATCTGTATGAGCAAGTTTTCTTTTCGTTCACTTATAGATGCTCCTTTATATCATTGGGACTAAGAAAACAAAAAAAAAATTATCCTTGCAGAGATTAGTATTTTTTAAACTTTTGTTCGAAACCATATTATACTCCTCGCTGAAATTTTAGAGTACAACTCAGTGTTTGCACTTTTTCCAACGATACAACTCTTACAAATCGGAGTTTTCGTTCATTTTTTCGATGAGTTGATACGTCATGGATTTTGACTGATTCTCGTATATCAAACCAATACTTATATGAATAGCCAGAAAATTTTATAATTTTTCTTTTCTTATATAGTGCAATCGAACCCACTACTCCTCAGCTTTCGAATTGAAAATATTTCTTTTTTTGCTTATTTTATTCTTAAAACGGTATACAATAATATGACAAGTCATTTATGTACATTGGAGAGTATTTGCACAGGTTACCTCTACTACACACACAATCAACGTGCTTCCGTTTCATTGTCTTCATCACAGTAATAAATGATGAATGACAACATGCGATGATAATAACGTCATTTTTTTCCCAAACTTTCTTTTTATCATTCACTAATACATGACAAAATATTGATGTTGGATTGGATACTTTTTTGTTCTTTTATTTGATTTTTGCTCTTATGTCATATACTATCGCCTTGGTGAAGATAAACAAGAAAATTTTAATTTTTCCGGCTACAAAAAACGAAATTACTTCTTTAGGAAGAATATGCATGTTGATCTACGAATAGCGTCATGACAGAATCAAAGTACGCTTATATCTAGATAAGTCATACATCATAAAGTACAAAATAAAATGCAACTTAAGTGAGAGAATGACAAGATAAAAAAAAATAGCAGCAAATAGATGAAATATTGTATTCATTGTCTGCTACTTGCACGCTTTATTGAGCATCTTAAGAGAAGATTCCTTAATAAATAATGCAACTCAAAAACTAGGCAAAAACAGCTAAGATATCTGGTACATATGATTTAAGCGGACTCGCATTAATCGACATACGCAATTCTACTGAAATCTAATACTTTTTCAAGAACGAACAACAAAATTTTTATACTCATATATAACAAGGAATCGAGTAGAAGGACTACTATTAACTAAATGTTGTTTTGGAGTTCACAACATAAAGCAGTTGTTCTGATTTAGATTTTTTATTCGAACAAAAGAAGATGAGTTACTTTGATTTCGATGAAAATTCAATTTACATATCAATGATTCACAGTTGGTCGTCATTTTTGAGTTTCATTTATACTTTACTTTTGGTGTTTTAGATGGGTTTATGCGATCAAAATTTGATAAAACATATCCTACTGAACTGTATGGAAGAATTAGTGAAGCTGAATTTCTAGCGTCACTTACCAAAATCAATGATGCTTATTATTCGTTCAGAACTCGTTGTAAAATTCATTTTTGTGTTATGTGGTTTTTCATAGCAGTTTCAATATTATTGTGCATTGGAGGTCCAGTAATAATAATTAAGTCTGCAGCAGCAGGTTTTGCAATACTGGGTATTGGAATAGCGTCGTGCGTTTTTGGGATGATTGGTTGTTTTATTAAAATATTACTTCTAGTCAAAGAACATAAAAAACGAATGCGCGAAGTAGCTGATGAAAAATCTACGAAATACTTATCAAGACCCATACAATGTAGTTGGCAATTATATTGCCCTCCAATTTCCTCCTCCGATGATGATTTTTCATTAGAATCTTCATTTCGCATAAGCATATCTATCACAACAAAGAAAAGAAAAAATATCAGGATATTATATGTTTTAGATCTAGAAAAATAAATTTTCATTAAATTTTCTTGATATGTTTGTATCATTTTATTTTTTCAGGTAGTCCTTAGTATTGTTCGCCCTCTTGCTTCAACAAGTGGAAATACGGTGCATTATTCAAATCAAGCTGTTTCCGGATGAACAGCATTTGATGAACAACATCGAGATAATCATTTGATGTGTATTACTCAATTAATTCTTTTTTAATTTTAGAGTTGAACAATTAATATTTATTTTCTTTTCTTAAAAATAATTTTATCATAATTTATTAACTAATATTCGAAATTTTATTAAACGTACCAAATCAAGTTACGAATAAAACTAAAGCTTGAAAGTTCTGAATGAGCTTAAGTCAAGGTTGAATACAAGATTGATAGAATGTCTAAATTGTATGAATTGTAAATTATAAGAAGGTTAGCAGAATTTTCTTCAAGCACTACTCGAGAATTCTGCTTTGTGCATCGATCTCTATAGGGTTCCAAACCAATTTTGTATATTTCTATGTAAGAGAATGGGATACTCAGCTTTTTTCTCAGAATTCTGTCTTCAATAGTAGTCAATAAGAATTTTTATTTCCTAGCAGAATCATATTTTGTGTCATGCGTTTACCTTCTCATAATGATTAGAAAAACAACGAATAGGTCTTAACCAATACCAACATTCATACTAATAGCATGTTTTAAAAATAATATACTTCTTTTATGAAAACCTTACTCGCACACGGGCAACATTTTCAAAAAAAAACGAGGGTGTGGGTGTGAGTGTTAGTGGAGAGAAGGCAGACATCTATTGACACTTCGAACACATCCACACCCTCGAAACAGTGATTTTGCCATTCATGTGAACATAAAAGTATAAAAAAAATGTTCACTCACAACAGTAAGCACATCTATATCACCTCCAGTTCAAGTCATATCTTCAATTAGACTTTGTTTGATACTTTATGATAACAAGAATAATGATGATGAGATATTACGAAGATTCCTGTAGTAAAATCTCTGATTTTCAATTTGATTTACACATGTTTTATTTAAATAATCATTTATAATAGTCAGAATACATTTGCATGAGGAAAATAGTCTTTGACATGTTCAGAAATTTCAAATCTACGATATACACTTAAAAAACGCAGTTTTGCACAATTGACTCGTGTTGCATTTCTTCTAAAATTATGTGTCACTCTTTCCAGTGATTGATAATCAACTGAAAGATAAAAAATATTTGGCAAACACGTTTTCGTATCAACCAGAAATTGTTCGACATAATCATCATGAGCTTCACAAAGAGAAGTCTCGTGAGATGAGACCATTCAATAATTGATAAATTTTGATTATTATTTTTTGATTTTATATATTGTTTATCGAGTTGTGGTTTTCGATTAATTAGAGTTAAATCTCTCACAATTGGAAATGAATGAGCAATCCGAAGAAAAAATTCGTGTTCAAAAGGACGTTCATCATATAACGATACTTCAGTAACATATTTAAAAAAACCACCTGTAAAATTATTTGATAGGTATTTATAAAACATGAATTTATATGGATATGAATAAATAAGACATTGGCTATATTGCTTTTCTTTGAAATAATCAACACAAGAATTAATTTTATTATTGTAAAAATATTCAAATGTATGCTGGGTATCTTCATTTGATGATAAATCAATTTGAATAGGAAGATAATGGTATGAGTAAATATTAAATGTAAAATTGTTTAATCGTGGCATATGATTAATAATATTCTTCTTCAATTCATTACCGTTAACCAATTCTTTATCACAATTAAGTATAAGAAGTAAATCAAGTTTTTCTAAATTTAACATTCGATGAAGAAGTGGTACAATCAATTTATCATAAGCACGTGTATCCATATCACAGTGCAAAGAAAAAAACCGTAAATTCGGTAGTTTATCCTAGAAACGAGAACAAATATCATTTCATTTCAATGAAATATTAACGAGAATAATCTACCTTATTATGAATTGTTACATTAGAAGGGAAAATGAAATAAATATTAACATGAAGTGAACGAAGTTGATTGAAACGTCCATCAAGCAAATAGAGACAATCGCTGAAACTTCGTACACAGACATGTAATTCTAATAGAGTTGAAGAGCTAACCGTTGGAGGTGACACATCAAAAGATAATCGTTCAAACCCCATTGAATATCGATCGAAATGTAAATGCCGTAAATTGGTAAATATAGTAAAGATTTGTGTAAATACAAGTGTATGCAAATTTATTGTTGAAGATCGCCCGCTTTTTCTAATAAAAGCGATAACAAGTGATGAAATTTGACTGTTGAAAATATGAGATAAAGGAGCTTCGTCTAAATGAAAAGATTAAAAGTTAATGACAAAAATATTTATTAAATTTGATTTTATTCATTAAATTCAAGTATCCAATCTTTTTTTCCTTGCTGATAACACTATAATGTACATATATCACCTTCGTTTAAATTCTCTAATAAATCATATAATATCATCAATGTTATATTTCATCTCAATCATTAACATTTTATTGTACACTTTCTACGTTGACCAGTATTCCAAATCTCAATTGAATATTATATAAAATATTCTTTTTCATTTAAATGAATAATTCTATTGTTTTTTGTTATCAATGGATTTCTTGTAATACACAATCATCGGTAAATATGGGTAATACAAAATTATTTTATAATGATAAAATGTGTAAGCATCTAATTCGAACTGTACAAATTATATATTCAAAATATAATCATTTTGCCTTTTATTTATCTGTTTTATGAATTAATTCTTAAAAGAATCGAAGAAAATACCTTACCAATAAAGAGAGATACAACTCCATCTATGTCAATACCATATAAACCAACTCCATATAAATTCGGATAATTCGTAGCACGAAGAATACGGTTCATGGATGTTGATTCAAGATCAAGCCAATTGATTTGATGATGAATTTCAGGTAAAATTTTTGAACAAAATCGATCAAGAATCGGATCAGACAAGGGGTCGCACATGCAATTATGCGATGAACGTTTCATCAATGATAAATGACTTGTAAAAGTTCGATCATATGCAATTCTATTAAATCGTTTATTAACACCTGCGAAAGAGTTGAGGACTTCAACATTGTGTAATTTTTTCATAATAATCAGAAGAATCTCATCAGATAAATCGTTTAATTCAAACGACGAATATTCCATATTTATCTTCCTTTATCTGTTTCTTTTCGCTCATAAATATGAATATTTATATCCTTATGTTCATGTTATCTATTTGACCGATGTCGTCAATGGAAACACAGATGCTGTTTTCAATACTGTAAATAGACGACGTACGAATGAATGAAAAGAGTGTCATTGTTTCCTTCTTTCTTTTTTTATTTGTTCCATATGAAAAATGACAAGTGTTCCAATTAATCAACGAATAAAAAAAGTTATTGTTGAATTAATTGAGACTGAAAAATCTTATGTTCAAGTGCTGAATTGATAAAAATCTTTATCAAAAAAAACTTGTAGAGTTATATCTCTTCTTCTTTTCGATTGCGACAGACATACTATAACAAACTGAGAGAAGTAGACTTACCATTACTCTCAGTAAGCTATTTCATATCTTCAATCGTGACTATGAATATTAGCGTTTAGTAATGATATAAATATCGACACATCGAACCAAATAAAAATGATAAAAAGAGCTTATTCAATGATTATGAACGATCGTTTTTCATTTTTACTTAGCATATACAAAATTTCCTAAAACAATACATTGAACCATTACCTAATAATTCCACAATTTTACCATCAGTTGCAATTGAATCATTTTATAATAGTATTAAATCAATTTATCAATTACAAATTATATTTCTCGAAAATTTTGAATTCAATTTATTAACTGAAGTATATTTGATTATATGTTGTTTTTATATTTTAAAATCATTTTATTTTTTTTAGAATATTCTCATATGAATCGCTGAAACATTTATTAGTTTTTCTAGTGATTTTAAAATTTATTCAACATATTGTGCAGTGTATTTAAGAATAAATCGTTTATTAAATCATTATAAAAATAATGAACATTTAAAAGAATTTCTTCAATCATGTAATCTACATCATATCAACATTCATTATCATTTAAATCATATTTAATATCTCAATCAACGTATTTTTGCTCGAAATAAAATGTTCTTTTGACAGAAACATCAGATATCTCATCGACAAACAAGCCGTACAAAGTATAAAACGGACATGTTAATTATGGAGGGGTGTGGGTAATGTTTTTTTTATCAAGGCCATTTTATTCTATTCAAANTCATCATTGCACAAAAGTTTAATTAATTTTAAACACCACCATTTTTGCCTCACATAGATTGTTTAATATTGAAGCAATTATTATCTCTATATACGGCAGCTATTTGTAGTCAATTCCATTTGATAATTGCTATCATCGTTGATACATTTATTACCATGTCATTCATTCAATTCGGTTTTGCTCAATAAAACGTAGCAGACTGAGTTCCCAATCCAACTATCGGATATTATTTCTTTACAGAACGCTAGCCATTTCGCTGAATCGTGTACACAGTTTTCTGATTATTTCCGATATGCACCAGTAGCAGATTCCTGTTGGATCTATGCTATCCGACACGAAAAAACCCGAACAATGGAACTCCTGTATTCTTATATAATCCGACAAGTTCCGATACCAGTGATTGAACGGTTTTATCATGGAATCCGGTATCGTGTGAAACCACAAATTCCGACCATTTCTTGACATCAGATTACATTGAATCACATTGGAAGCGAGCAGATCCTGATATCGGATCTGACCAGTTCCGAATGTATGAATTTGGTCGGAACTCGATGAATCCGATCAGCGAATATCCAAGGAAAATAGTGGATAGCATCGGAATTCGGCAAAAAGTAACCGACCGAATCCGATTAGCCGTATGGCAACGCATTAAAAACCCGTCCGACAGGATCCGGCGTACCCACTTCGACCTGGGATCTTAAGAGAAGATTCTTTAATAAATAATACAACTCAAAAACTAGGCAAAAACAGCTAAGATATCTGGTACAGATGATTTGAGCGGACTCGCATTAGTCGACATACGCAATTCTACTGAAATCTAATACTTTTTCAAGAACGATGAAAAACATTTATATATTCATATGTAACAAGGAATCGAGTAGAAGGACTACTATTAACTAAATGTTGTTTTGGAATTCACAACAAGGTTCTAATCATTTATTGTGACATGTAGAATGACATGGTTTAAATAAAGTAAAAATGTAATTGTATATTATTAAAACAGTTGTTCTGATTTAGATTTTTTATTCGAACAAAAGAAGATGAGTTACTTTGATTTCGATGAAAATTCAATTTACATACCAATGTTTAACAGTTGGTCGTCATTTTTGAGTTTCATTTATACTTTACTTTTGGTGTTTTAGATGGGTTTATGCGATCAAAATTTGATAAAACATATCCTACTGAACTATATGGAAGAATTAGTGAAGCTGAATTTCTAGCATCACTTGCCAAAATCAATGATGCTTCTTATTCGTTCAGAACTCGTTGTAAAATTCATTTTTGTGTTATGTGGTTTTTCATAGCAGTTTCAATATTATTGTGCATTGAAGGTCCACTAATAATAATTAAGTCTGCAGCAGCAGGTTTTGCAATACTGGATATTGGAATAGCGTCGTGCGTTTTTGGGACGATTGGTTGTTTTATTAAAATATTACTTCTAGTCAAAAAACGTAAAAAACGAATGTGCGGAGTAATTGATGAAAAATCTACGAAATACTTATCAAGACCCATACAATGTAGTTGGCAATTATATTGTCTTCCAATTTCCTCCTCCGATGATGATTTTTCATTAGAATCTTCATTTTGCATAAGAATATCTATCACAACAGAAAAAAAAAGAAAAAATATCAGTATATCATATGTTTTAGATCTAGAAAAATAAATTTTCATTAAATTTTCATTAAATTTTCTTGATATGTTTGTACCATTTTTGTTGTTCAGGTAGTCCCTAGTATTGTTCGCCCTCTTGCTTCAATAAGTGGAAATACGGTGCATTATTCAAATCAAGCCGTTTCCAGATGAACAGCATTTGATGAGCAACATCGAGATAATCATTTTATGTGTATTACTAAATTAATTCTTTTTTAATTTTAGAGTTGAACAATTAATATTTATTTTCTTTTGTTCTTAAAAATAATTTTATCATAATTTATTAATTAATATTCGAAATTTTACAAAAATGTATCAAATCAAGTTACGAATAAAACTTTAGCTTGAAAGTTCTCAATGAGCTTTAGTCAAAGTTTAATATAAGATTGATAAAATGTCTGAATTGTAAATTATAAGAAGGTTAGCAGAATTTTCTTGAAGCACTATTCGAGAATTCTGCTTTGTGCATCGATCTCTATAGGGTTCCAAACCAATTTTCTATATTTCTATGAAAGATAATCGAATACTCAGCTTTTTTCTTAGAATTCTCTGTCTTCA